TCGTGTAAGACACCAGCCGAGCCGAGCCGAGCCGTGCCGAGCCGAGCCGAGTTTTAGTAATTGCTAATGAGAAGGGCATCAAAATGGGCGTTATGAAAACGGAGGGTGAAAAGATAGCTGAAGGCGTCGTAAATTATGTGATGGAGAAGCCTTGTGAAGAGGGTGAAGAAGTCTGCTGTGTGTAAGTGATTAACAGGTCCACGCTCGCTAATGATGGAAGAAAGCACTTCGCTAGAGTTACGTATATTGTGGAAGAGGGATTTGCGCAATCTGCGTTGTGCAGCAGCCGCGTAGTTACGAAAGTGTCGGCGAAAGAATTGAAGGATACAGTGCAAAAGTATACTCAAAGGCTTAACGCTGGAATCAGTGGCGGAAGCAGTAAAACGGAAGCTATAAGGGTTTTATGAAACTTGGGCACAGCATAAATTAAAGGGAGAAACTTATTTTTTTTTGTCTAGACTGAGTTGGAATCTGCGTAAAAGTTTATCATGACTAGCAATTATCTGCAAAGCATCGTCACGAACAGGAATATGTGTGTCGTTGCCAAGGACGTCGCCGCTGTCTTGTATACCAAGCTCTTAAAGTAAGGCGTTTACATAGAGGAATCTACAGATGAATGCATAGTTATTGGGTGCATTGTCAACTGGCATAGTAACTAGGCTATGGCGCTGGCGAGAAGAAGGGATAATATTGTGGGCAGGGCCGAGCATTGGTATACAAACATTTCTAACAGGCGATAAGTACGAAACAAAATATCGTCACGATAGGCCTTAACTCGAGCAGGTTCTAGGTTATATTTTCTGGCGAAAAGGTGTGTGTATGCTGAGAAGCTTATGTTGAAATGATGTAGAACATCGGTGGGATGTATGTTTCTAGATAGGCGGTAGTTACAGCCAAGGTTAAAGTAATCTTCTAAGAAGGGGTCACCTAAAATGCGTATATCACCAGTAAGTATGCGACCGAAAGGCGCGTAAACGAAGGAGTTAACGCAATAACAATGGATAAAGGAAGATTGTAGCGTTGTGGGGGTTATGTCGACTTAACATAAGAGGGAAATATGGTTACAAAATAGGTGGCGTAGAAGAAAATTATATCTAAAAGTCGCAATAAATCCTGGAACCAATATGCGATCGCGCAGGAGTGGGAGCGCACGGCTGTGAACGAGCCTCCCATAGCTTAAGCTGTCATAAACAGGGCCAGAATAGGGCATAACGCCATAAAATACTTTAGCACAGCTATGATATGGTAGTACAGGTGGCCGCCTAGCGTCAATAAGGAAACTGAGGATGTGCCAAAGAGCTTCGTACAGATTAGATTTGTTCAAGCGTCCAAGTATAGGCTAGAGGATGGGATTACTTTGACTGTGGAGGAGACGTGTGTTCATGGGCACTATCGAAGGGCAAGTATGGTATAGTATCAATGAAAACATTGTTATAACGATAGAAGTACGGCATCTACAACCATGTGAGCGTGAGAGACGAGGAAGACGGACATTGAAATAAGGGATGATCCTGCGGCTGTGAACAGCATCCTGTGTAACAACCCCGAAACCTTTAATGCAATCATTAAAACCAACAGGATAAAATGTCTGCAGTAACAAAGTGCAGTGAAATTCAGCCTCTGTAATTCGACGAAAATCATCTGCGATCTCAAGGACCTGGATAAACACATCACGGTCAGAATATCCGGCACTGTGAAATTGAGTATATAACGCATTGTTGGAGGAATTTCGATTAATGCAGCGTTTATGCTCGCGAGCCCTAACAAACAGTTCTTGTTTTGTTTGGCCAACATACTGAAAACCGCAGCGTATGCAGGTAATGCAATACACAACACAGCGAGTTAGGCAGGTGGGAGCTTGACGGGGTGTTGAGTAAGCAGTTGCAAAGAGCTTGCCCGAAGTAAAGCTGCGAATCGTAGAAGTACGAGAAAGCATGAAACTGCAGTCACAATTACGCCCACAAGATGCTGTAGTCGGAAGAAGGTTAGTATAATGAAAAGAAATCTCATAATTGTCATTCGCGTAGGTCACGCAGTAGCTGGTGAAATAATGTGGAAAGCAGGGTCTGTAGCTAATGGGCGCGCGAGGGACGCAGACGCATGCTCATCCCCAAACAGCCAACTACCCGTAGCCGTAAGGCCGTAAGGCTCGAACCAAATGCAGGTAATCGTCTATCCGGTCGGCCTAGTGTACCGGTTTGGGTAAGTGATACCACAAAGTTAAATTCAGCTCCATGGTGAGTAGCGCTTTTGCATACGGTGATTTTTGCGTGTTCCGCAGCAAGCCAGTTGACGAAGAGGACAGGAGCCAGAAACCCAAAAGAAGCTAGGGGCAAGTAGCTCCAAGTGTAGGGTGACCTACTTTAAACGCTAAGAAGTAGTTTGAATTAGCTGGATGACATTAATCGTGTAAACACTGGAAATCTGTTTTATTTATACGAAAATATAAAAAGAAACGAACAATAAAAATGATAAAAATAAATAAGGCGCAATAAAGTAAAAGTAGCAATAGAAGAAAGTGAATAAATAAAAAAAAATAAAAGAAAAGTTTTCATATGATAAATGTATATTTAAAAAAATAAATGTATTTTAAATAAATGTATTTAATATTAATATTTAATAATTAATATAAATGTGTTTAATAAATGATAAAGAAAATGTAGAATAAAGGAAGAAATAAAGTAAAATAAAAAAGCAAATAAATAGAAAATGATAAAAATAAAAAAAAAAAATAAAGTGCGTGGAGAACAGAGAAAAAACAAACTTGACGAGACGAAACAGGCAGACATGGGAGCGAGGTAAAGCGATATTGAACGATGCCTCGGGAAGTGGGTGCGAAGGATGGAACAAAGACCAGGAAGGTCAAAATAGGGGAATGAGGATAGTAGCAATTCGATCAGTGCAGGAGGCCATTCATTAGAAGGGTGGAAAGTTGCTGCACGTAACATGGAAAGAATTCGTACGAATCACGTAGAAATTATAATACGTTTAATGGAACGGAAATCAAAAAACGGGGAAAAAATGGAACAAAACCGGGATCGAAGTCGTGAGAAGAATCAAAGCTGTGGAAACTGTACAATCAGTGAAAACTGTACAATCAAAAACCTCAAACAGTGGAAAGCATGCTCAGCCAAGATGATGAAGTATACAAATCCTACATCACAGAAGTAGAAACAGGTTATAAGGAGCTAAGTGATGCTAGAATGTGTCCGAGAACAGGATCATCAGCTCAGTACCAGCGTCTATGCGGAGGTACCCCTACGCCTATACATGTATCTGAAGCGATAGTGTAAACGCCTTTACACTATAGGAGTTTAAGTATCTCTTTAGCACGTTGTGCAGGAACATACTGGATTTTGGTTAAATCGCTGCGTATCGTTAAAGTACGGCCGTGCGGTAAATAGGCTCTGGGAATCAAGCGCTTCCAGCTGCCGAAAAGCTGCTTATCGGATGAGGTAAGAAATCGAACGGCCAAAAACTTGCGCAACTCACGACCTGCCCAATGTATAGTTTCGATCTTAACTGAGTCTAACTCGTCGCGAGGACGGCGCATCCTGTCGGACAAGAATTGATGAAACAGATCAAGAAGTTTAATCACCTGCACATTGGTGCTACCATCAGGCTATTGTGTCTCCATGTGACATTTGGTGTAGTTGAAGCCAAAGATTCGTATGCTGCAAGCAAGATCGGTGCGCTCATTGATCTTAATACGGTGTTCGTTCTCAGAAAATTCCAAAATAAAATGTGTAACTTGAAGACAAGTAAGGTATTGAAGAAAGCGAAGAAAGGTAATAAAAATTGGCCAACGTATGGGCTGCCCGTGCGAAGATGCGTTTTTTGCATTGTTCCCCGCAGTTTTTGTCGCTACCGGCACCGGTTTTTTCGGCAAATGCTTCTGTCAGGAAACACTCCCTTAAAATTTCAGCTTTCTAGCTTTCCTGGCTCCTGAATCAGCGATTTACTGGAAACTTTCGCGAGTCCATACGTGGGTACCACGCATACCCGATATCTCGATTTGAGCTCGTTGAGACTTACGTGGATGGGGAGCATCCTCTTAAAATTACTGTCTTCTAGCTTTTTAAGTTCTCGAGTTAGCAATTTACCCGAGAAAAACATTGGTGAGCCCGTGCGTGGGTACCATGCATACCGGAGGGCCGAGTTTGAGCTGAATGAGACTTAGGTAGACGAGGAATATCCCCTAAAATTACAGTCCCTTAGCTCTTCAGGTACTCGAGTTATCAACTTACCTGAAAAAAACTTTGGCGGGCCTGTACGCGAGTACTACGCTTACCCGGGGGCTGAGTTTGAGCTCTTTGATACCTGCTTGGACATGGGACATCCCTTTAAGATTTCAGCTTTTTAGCTTCTCAGATCCCCGAGTTATCAAATTACCCGGAAAAAAAATTTCACGGGCCTGTACGCGGGTACCACGTTTACCCGGGGGTTGGGTTTGAGCAAATTTATACCTACTTGGACGAGAAACATCCTCCTGAAATTTCAGCTTTCTAGCTTCTCGGATCTTCGAGTTATCAACCCGAAAAAAATTTTGGCGGGTCCGTACGCGGTTACCACGCTTTCCTGGGGACTGGGTTTGAGTCCATTAAAACCTACTTGGACGGGGAACACCCCCTTAAAATTTCAGGCCCCAAGCATTTCTGGTTCCCGAGTTAGCAACTTACCCGTAAAAAACTTTAGCGGGTTTTTATGTGGGTACCACGCGGGTAATGGAGCCCACTTTAGGGATTTGGGCCCATACGTGCATGTAGCTTAAGTTCCCAAAGTTTCAGCTCTGTAGCTTTTGTAGGTTTTCAGATGAAAAACCGTGACAGACGCACACACGGACAACCTCTCGTCAATATGCGTTTTCTGCATTGCACAGCTGCAAAAAACGCGAACGCTGTACTTGTGATCGGTCGCCTAAAACTTACAATCTGAAGCACGAGATTTGCCGAAGGCAAGATCGGAAAAGAGGAATTGTCTGCTGCACGATTAATGGCTAAATTTTATTAATGATTAATAGCTTCCTCCAAGTGAATTTCCTCCTAGCTTCAGGATCATGTGCCCCTAAAGTGTCGCGTGGAAGCCTCCCAATGGCATTTCCCCAAGTAAAACAAAACAGAGCGGGGCGATGTGCCTCGACTCAGCTGAAACAACCAGTGCATTGTTCTGCCACAATGATAATACATTAGTCGATTTTTTACTTACAAGTCAGAAAATATGAGTACAGAGTGGGACAAAAATACGATACGAACAATAGAGAGTGCATCAGATCATTTAACAAAGCAGATTCCCCGTCGATCACTTGTTTGAGATGTTTGAGATGCTAAACTGAAGAAATTTGTCAAAACTTCTGCGACTCATTTTAAGAATTCCAAATCCGAACTCATCGTCGCAGAGAGCGCCAACTTTTAACTGTTCATTAAAAGTACTTATCTTAAACTCTTAAGAAGCACGCAATCAAAAATTTTCAGCAGATCAATTTATCAAACTCCGGACAAATAACGACCAGTAATTATAGCAACATTAGAATGGTAGTACTTTATTCGTATCAGGCAGGCCAATAAGTCAAAAATACAAGAAATGGGACCGTGAAATTCCTAGAACCGTGAAATGCAGATATGTTATGGAACACAATGCAGTTCAGAGACAAGGCTAATCGAAATCTTTACCGGAAAAAAGCTTCTCGCAAAAGCAGTGATGAAAAGAACAAGATTTAGAACAGAACATTAAACTCGATAATGATGAACGTGCAATGAACAGTTGAAGTTTTTTGCAAAATTAAATGTGAGGTAGTCTGACGCTGCCAGAAGAAAAAAAAATCAACTACAACCGGGTACTCCACTCGGAATATACAAACAGGTTGAGATGCTAGTCCTACCAACAGCAATGACACCGGAAACGAACGCCTGAGTTATGGAGACTGTGGCAATAAAAGTCATCGTTCACAATCAAATATTGATCTCAAGACGAACCATTTACCGCTTGCCCCTGCAACGAAAATTTTTGGTCTATGGGAACTCCCAAAAGCACAACAGCACTGAAAATAAAAAAAAAGCAGCATAGTTTTGATCAGATGTGCGTCGAATGAACTTGGTCTAAAGCAATCGCAGCTATGATCGTGGAATTTTAAGAAAAACAGTCGAGTCGCAAAAAAACATGATCAGAACAACAATTTCCGTAACGACTACAAGGACTTTTTGTAGAGGGAAACGATATCTCAGACTTTACTACTAAAGGAAAACGATTTTATTACTATGTCTCAGTATTCCCATGGTTTCATATGCACCAAATTCTGAATTATCTTGCTTATCGTAATTTCAGATAAAGAAAAAACAGACAGGGGAAAAGGGTGAAGGAAGTCCCACAAATAAAAACTCGAAATAATATGCACGCGAGTACTGTCTATTTTTATCCATAAAACATCTGCGGGGTATCAAATGAGCTTTGTTTCTGGATCTTAATCACTTCCAAATGATTACCTCTTGGAGCATGTGGCACGATTCTTCGACAGTTTCTCACTGACAACTACCTGAGCAGACGGAACGGCTGGCTGCCGCCTCGGTCGCAACCGTGATGCGATACCGCTCTTAAATACGAACGGTGAGCGAGTAAACATACATTATTTCAACAGGTAATTTCGATGCTTATATCATCAGATTAAAATGGACTGAAAAACTCGGTACTTCCACGCATTTGATTTCTCCAAAGAAGCTTAAGAGGAAGTGCTTGTTGAAAGGGCTGCACACAGTGATTTATTCGACAATGACCTCTAACTGCCAGCGAGAGTGTTGATAATGCTTTTTTATAAAAAATTAAAATGAAGCCATTTGAAGGCAGCATGAAACATGTCAGTATGACAGGGTTTCGCGCAGTGTGTTTGCTCCTTCAGACAAGAAGTTTCACATTGGAGGAATTCATTAATTGGATTCTCCAGTTTTCCAGTCTTTTTTATCCTGGATCCACCCCATTCATTAATTGGATTCACCAGTTTTCATAAAAACCTTCCACAAACTAACCGATTTCGCCGCAGCCGTTTCTTCTGACTGCGTCTCCGTTTTTCCCAGTTCTGTTGCATCTTTTTTTTTAACTTCTAATTTCGTCTTCTTTGGTTCATCCAGTTTGTCAGAATCCGAACCATCACTTTCTTTACTGGATGCCTTTCTCGATCGTTTCCTACCCAAACTAATCGGCGTTGAACTCATAAACGGCAAGCTGCCAGAAGCTGTGACAGCTTTCCCCTGCAAAAACGTACAACATCACTACGTAATTAGCGCCGCATAGCAGGATCGCACGGCGATCTGGCACATGAGTAGCAATCATTCGCATAAACGTACTGCTTTTTATTCTATCAGGTTTTCGAGTTAGAATCATTTGATATGCTCGAGCACGAACATCAAGCATTATGCTCTAGCACTAAATATACAACTTTATTAGCCTGGCTTCTGAAGTAGCAAAGTGCCAACAAAGCCTCTGAGGTGTCCACATATGAAGCTTTTAGTTGTACATGGACTGGGAACATTCTTGGGGGGGACCTCCCCATCGACCTCTCACAGACTGATTCATTATCCTTTCTTCCAACAGCAGAAACAGTATGAATGTTTTATCGACTTCCTAAAGCTAGTTTATGAATTTGCCATTTACACCGAATTACACAGACTGAAGATGCATAAAAACAGGTGCGGGTAGTTCCGTGGCAAAATCGATTGTTTACTCGGAATCTGTAGCAGTCCTAATCTTCTAACTGCGTATTAATTGCCACAGGCAGGACCGAATGCTGTGCAAGGTGCTGCAGATCATTTTTTATTCGTTTTTATGCGTTTTTACATATACGCAAATGCGAAAACGCATATTGTGACGACCCATGGTGTATCTGTGTGTGTGTGTGTATGTGTGTCCAGGCATTTCAACTCTGCACTCAAGCAAGCTCCGTTGCCTGCGGGTTCCCCAGCCAAGTGCCACCCCAGGACCGCGGCACCAACTTTCACGGGTCCCGCGACGACAGGGTGAAAGTTCTGGCGGGAAAATCGCTAACTCGGGAAACAGAAAAGCAAGAAAGCTGAAATTACCGGGTTATGTCCCTCGCCCACCTGGAACTCAAACATTTCAAATTCAGCCCCCAGGTATGCATAGTTCTCGCGTACGGCCCCGTGAGGGTTTTTGGCACGAAAACCGCTAATTTGGGAAGCTAGGGGAGCTGGGAGGCTGAAATTCTCAGGGAATCTTTAGAGCTCATGTACAACTTAAAGCTAGTAAATCCAACATCCGGGCATGCATGCTTGCCACGTACGGTCCGCGAAATTTTCTGGTGAGAAAATGGCTAACTCCGGAACCAGGGAAGCTGGCGGGCTGAAATTTTTCAGAGCAAGTTCTCAGCTTATCTAAAATTTAAATTTGTCAAATTCAGTACCGGGCTTGCATGATCGCTACGTACGACCCAATAAAAGTTTTTGGCGGGGAAATGACTAATCCGAAACCAGGAAAGCTGGGGGGGGGGGGGGGGGGGG